CACTGAAAAAAATACTGGGGTTAATAACTAGTAACTATTTATTTGAGACGTTTTTATTTACAATAAATACAAAAAATTTGTTGTTAATCAATGTTATTTACTAAGAATATATTCTGAAATTTATTTTATTTTCGTTTTAAATATTCTAAATTAGGGTGGCCCAAAAAAAGAATATTTTTTTTCTCGTCTCTTGTAAAAATATGTTAGTTTATCATGCCTGTCAAAATATCAGCTCGATTAAAAATTTTTAGGGGTCGCTCAAGATTTTAAAATATTTTAAAATCATCAAAAATTGAATATATATTTTGTATAATTTTTTTTTTCTCGTCTCGATATTATTTTTAGGTTGAAAATAATATAAATTCTGTTAATTTCAAATAAATATTTTGATTTTGATTTCGCTAAAAGTTTATTTATATTTATATTCAGAGGTCGTTCGCAAACATTCAAAATACTTGGAAAGTTAAAAAAAATCTTCAGCGACCTTTAGAAATCAAATTATCATCATTATTATTTTCAAATTAAAAAATATTATCGGAACGAGAAAAAAATTATAATCCAATTTTTGAGATTTTGGAGTTTTTTTAAAATCTTGAGCGACCCCTAAAATTTTTTAGGGGCTCTTAAAACATGACAAACCAATATATTTTCACAAGAGATGAGAAAAAAAAATATTTTTTTGGGTCACCCTAATATGTGTTTATTTTTAAATTTTAATTAATTAATTAATTAATTAATTTTAAAATAAAAAGTTTAGTATTTTAATTTGTCATTATATTTCCACCCTGTATTGAAAACAGTTTACTAAACCCTACTTATAATATTATATATATATATATATATATATATATAAATATATATATATATATATATATATATTATTATTGTATCGTCATACTCAAAAAAATGTGCACTATCAATTAAGTGGGGTTGTTATTTAAGATAAAGGTGCCTAATATATATATATATATATATATATATATATATATATATAAAAATAACCCATAAGCATATATATATATTATATATATATATATATTATATATATATGCTTATGGGTCATTTTTGGTTTCATAAATATGAAGGCCCAATATATAATATAAATAAAATATTGATTGCTTCGCATTGATAGCCGTGCATGTATATATATATATATATATATAATATAAAAATGACCCATAAGCATATATATATATATATTATATATATGCTTATGGGTCATTTTTGGTCTTATAAATATGAAGGCCCAATATATAATATAAATAAAATATTGATTATTAAATTATTATATTATTATATTAAACCTTTACATTTTAAAATAATGTAATATTTCCTAAACTTGCTTTGAAGTCTCTTAAATTCTAAATTGGTAAAATTATAGTTTAATAAATTATAGCTTAATACATTTACAATAATTCAGTAATTTATATGATTTAAACTTAATAATATTAAGTTAATATAATTTTCAATTGAAATACTAAAAAATACTAACAAATTTTATATGAAATTTCTGCTGAGAAACTGAAAAATTACCTATAAATATATATTTTTGTTTGAAATATTTCACTTGAAATACTGAAACATAACATAACCATATATTTTTTTATAAAATTTGATAACCCAGGAGCAAATCCTGCGCAGGGCCGTGCATATAATGGGCCCATCTTATTCTAATAAAGATATATGCAAAAATTTACTTGAATTTTGCTTAAACATCTCCAAACATTTCTGATGTTCGAAAACATGGCAGCCATATTACATAAAGTTTTTAGAACCAAACCATAATTTGTTTCCAAAAAACATACATTTTAAAATCAATTTATTTATGAACTTATAAACAAGTTAAATTTAGTGGTATATTATTATAAGGTATATATGCATAAAGGACTGTATTTTTATAAAAAGATGTTGTTAACTGAAATAATAATTATTTATTTTACCAACAAGTTTTATGTGATATATTTCTACATGACTCAAATTTAACAATTATTATCCATTAAAACATTTATTCGCTAAGAAACACAGTTTTTCGACATTGCCTAATTTGAAAAAAATTGATCCGTTATATGATATTTAGCCGTAAAAAGTTTTAAACTTCAATTTCCCAACTTAACAAACATTTAAAAACTAACTGCGTCAAACAAACTTCGTCTTGATTGGTTTCCTACAGATTCAAATAAATTCTTAAGAATAAATTACCTTTGTTTATTGGCGCTCACTTTTCTGTAAAATATTTTAAATTAAATGTTAAAAAAAAATTAACCAAGAAGAAAACTAAGAAATAATTAACTGCGTTAATTTAGTGTTAGTTCACTGCAATGAAATAGGATGCTTTATAAGTTAATTTTTTTAAATAATCAACGAAATTTCAACACAACCCATTCAAATAAATATTATAATTTTTACACTTTTAAAGATTTTACCCAAATTTGGGTTTATTCCAAAATAAAATACAATGAATAAACAAAATTTTATCAACAATCTATTTCTACATTGACGAGCTGTGACTATATGGCGTTTTAGGAACGTGCTAAAGTTAGCAACAGTGGCTTTTGGACTTTTTAGTCATTGGCTGAATTTAGGTGAAAGTTGTCAGATGACAAAATTGGCTACAAATTCTGTTTTGTTTTCGTCGTAAATAAAGTATAGTATGAAACTCGTTTATAAACTTCTCTAGACACTGGTTTTTATTAAACACTGTAACTAAATAAGCGTTTGTTATAACAATAATAATCAAAAAATAACATTTATTTAACAGTCAGATTTAGAGGAGAAAAACCCTGCTACATAACGCTGAGGAAACAGAAACAAAAGAAAAACAAAACAAAATAATAATAATAAAAATAAATAAAAAATTCTAAAAACAAAAGAAGTCCAGAAATTTGTTATACTTTTTTTTGGGATATTATTTTTAAAAAGTCTTCTTGATACAAAGTTACGTAACGCTTGAATTCTTCCTTAAACTTTTTTAACTTATTTGAAGAACTCAGGTGACTTATTTCTTTGGGTAACATGTTATGAAATTGTGGCGCAAAATAAAATGCAGTCCTTTGCGTAAAATTATTTTTAAAAAGAGGAATAGGATATACATTTTTTTCGGTAGATCTGATGTTATGCTGGGAGGGGACTATTTCAGTTTTCTTATTATTTTTGTTTACCCAAAATATGCACTGTATAATATAAATTAAATTAAACGAACTTTTGGCAAATTGGATTCATTATATAACATACTAGTGGGAAAATAATCTTAATTTTTTAAATATGATTTTCAGAATTTTGTTTTGAAGTTTTTCTACAGAGTTTATAGAATTTTCGTAACAACCCCCCCATGCAACTATTCCATATCTTAGAATTGATTCGACTAAAGAGTTATAGACAATAATAAGATTTTTTTTATTTAGAAAGATTCTTATTTGATAAAATTTAAAAATTATAATTCTTAGTTTTTTTACAAGGGTGAAAATATGCTCATCCCAATTTAGGTGTTGGTCAACCATTAAACCAAGGTATTTGACCGCTTTGGCTTTTTGAACAGCATCACAATCGCAAGTGACAAAACTTTTACAACTGTGTTCGTTTATTATGAATGTTTCTAAAGCAGGCTGACCAACAATTGTGGGAGAGAAAGTTATAAATTGTGTTTTAGATATGTTTAAACTAAGGAGACTTTCATTTAGCCATGCGTATACTCTTTGCACCCCCAGTTCGGCCTTCTCAAAAACTTCTTCCCAGGAGTCACCCTCGAAAAGAACCACAGTGTCGTCAGCATAAGAAATTATTTTACCATTAATGTTTAAATTACCCAAGTGATTAATATAGATCAAAAACAATAATGGACCCAAAACTGTCCCCTGTGGCACTCCCATGGTGACAGGAAGGGGATCACTTTTTTCATTGCCTACTCTGACACTCTGTAGTCAGCACCGAGCCGCGAATTCCAATTCCTTCCAACCTGCTAATTCACTACTTTACTAGGTATCTAAATAAAACACAATGAGCACTCGGCTGTCATATATCCACTAACTGCATAATCTCAAAAATCATCATTACATTCAATAGCTAATGATTCACCTTATTCTGTTAGGTGTTTATATTGCTGGATACTATAGCTTACTTAAAATTAAGATATAAAGGCTAAAAAGTTATGGGGACAAAAACAAAAAAATATATAAATGCTCATGTGGTTAATGTATTAATTTTGTTATATTGTAATACTTAAAATCTTTAAAAATTTCTGGGACGAAAATTCTAAAATTGTCACATTGTGTTTTATTTTATTTACGATTATTATAAAAACGACAATTTGTTTTTACGTTAAAATAATAAATATCATGGCCTATTATATTTTATTTGTTTTGTTGGCGGGCATATTTTAATTACTGAATAAATTAAAATGTGGTGCCTTTGAATTGATTGATGAATGTTTTAATCTCTTTTTAGTTTGACTGTTCTAATTTGTATCCAAACAAACAAACAAATACTAATTTAAAATTAATAAAACCCAATGTAAACATAGTGTTTCTGTCAAATCGGAAATTGTTGGAAGTGAAATTATTCATATTAAATCTGGCATCACAGATACTTATTAAAAACTATTTGCAAACTTTTGATATTTAAATGTTTATGTTGACAAACATACGCATCAAAAAATAGCATCTTAAATTTTTTCCTTTGTATTTATTAAATAAAATAGTAATACCAAACGTCCTTCCAATAAAATTTGTTATCGGCGAACATAGGTTTATTTAAAGGATTTAGGCGGTCAAAATTATTTAAGGGTGTATTTTGACAATAAAACATACATTTTATTGTTGTTTTCGATAATAACTGCGCCATGAATTAATATTTTATGCATGGTCGGAGTCATTGGGTGCCATGAATATTGGTCGACATACAATTTCGCAGTTGCCATGGCATAATCATTAAATTGATGGATATTTATCTTATGACCACTTAAGATAGTTTCCAGTATAACCTTTAATCTATATATTAATTGAAAATCAACTTTTGTTATGTCCACAGCTAATGGGGGTTTTCAAAGAATCTTCGGCTAGTATTACAATCATTGGTATTCCCGAAATTGGCTTTTGGCAGTCTGTTTCTTTTCCTGTATATGTTTTTTCTTCATTAGTTCTCTTCTCTCTATACTGTTTTACTGGTAATTTATAAGCCAGGTGTAAAACGCTTTCAAACCATCGAATTCTGGCGTGTAGTACAGATAGTCCAAATTCAATAGCCTTAGAAGTTGTATTAAACTTTTGGGTCAGATTGTTAAAATCTTTAGATGTTGCTCCACATATATAACACCGACTTGTTGATTTTGTACCGGTTGCCATGTTGCACACCTTGCCATCGATCATCGTCATCTTAAAGATATGTTCAAACGTAAATGTACTACCATGCAAACTTACTTGAGTAGGTGTTAATTGCTTACTAGACTTTTCAACGTAACTGATTTCTTCCTTTGTTACGTAAGTAGATTCTTTGACAAACCTAAATCGTATATGTCTGCAATATCTAGGGGATGAGGGTATTGGGTTTTGCCAATTTATTTTTTTGCGTTGTTGGCCGCAATATATTTGAAGTGGTACAAAAGAGCTTGGGAATATATTTGCGTCTAAGGCAGCGTCATCGTCAATTTTTTGTTTATATTGAGCTTGTTGGGATCCGTCACAACCCCATTTACAAATAAGTTTTAAAGAATTCCTTTCAGTATGTTTTAGAAAAGAAAGGATATCTTCTAGTGCCATTGATAACCGAAATTTCACTTTTGACCGGCTAATTCTTAATAATCAACCATGTGCGGCGTGTAATAAAAATCATTTAAAATAATAGAGATATGGTTATCCACTTTTATTTTAAAAATAACATTGAGAAAATAATTTTCACAAAAATAACGTAACTTATAACAACAATGTTAAGCAAAATTTGTGATTTTCAGCTTTAAGATATAGCTCATTCAACTGAGTAGGTATACCTACAGTTATTAAAAATGGGTGATGTTTTAACTGCTTTGCTTTGTTCGTGCATCATACTAATGCTCGTTCACTCTTTTTCTGCTGTTCATGACTGTTTTTAGCTATTTTTTAAAACGTCTAACTTAAAAATTTATAAAGTCTTAGTGATGAGTCATTACTAATGACATTTTTACTTATTACAACCCAATAAAAAAATATTTTCTAAAAAGTTTGTATTTTTAAAGTGTGTCCCTTTGAGATATTTATGTTAAATAATACCCGATTTTAGAGAATTCCAATATTCGAAGATGCAACTGTAGACCTTAAACTTTTTAGTAAAGTAGTATACAAAAAAGAGTATCCAGGAAAAAATTAAAGGTGAGTATTGGTTTTATCTTTAACATTTTTAATTGTTAAAGAGCATGTTTTTATTTTAAAAACGTTACCATTTACTTTTTTTGTGTTTATTAAAAAACGGGTCTATAAATGCTGGACAGTAAATATTCTAAATTTTTTGCTAGTTTTAGTTTAAAAATTAAAAAGATATAGAGTTTAATGCATTTCTCTGTAAAATGCAAAATAGGATGACGCAACAATACAAAATGACAGCTCACAAAAAACAGAACAAAAATTAATGAATACCGGTTTTCAACTATGTTAGTATAGTACAAACAGGTAAAAATATAAAAAAAATTAATATGGAATTACTATTCTATATTTATTACGATGGTTCTTAAGGGCTATCACTATGTTTTTTTTAGCAAAATCAGGCAGTGCATGTTTTTAAAATGCAGTACTGGATTTTAAGTAGCATTGCCAGATTTTAAGTAGCAATACCAGATTTTAAGTAGCATTGCCAGATTTTAAGTAGCATTGCGAGATTTTAAGTCACACTGCCAGATTTTAAGTCGCACTGCTAGATTTTAACTCGCACTGCCAGATCTATATATATAATAATGAATCGCCGTGCGTTAGTCCTGCAAAAACTCGGAAATGGCTCAACCGATTTAATTTTTTTTGTTCGTCTCAATACAGGGGGCGATTTAAATAAAAATACATAAACCGTAAGGAACAGCCGGAAAATCGAAATTTGTACAACTTTGAATTAATTTGAATGGATGGCGTTCGTAGCTGCGCTTCAAATTAAATAACTATTAAACTCGGAAATGGCTTAACCGATTTAAATCATTTTTTTTTGTTTTGTTGGGCCCAATACAGGGGTGATTTGAATAAAAAATACATTAGGAAAAACCGAAAGGAACAACCAGAAAATCAAAATTCAAACTACTGTGACTTAAAATCTGGCAGTGCGACTTAAAATCTGGCAGTGAAACTTAAAATCTCTCAGTGCGACTTAAAATCTGGAAGTGAAACTTAAAATCTGGCAGTGCAACTTAAAATCTGGCAGTGCGACTTAAAATCAGGCAGTGCAACTTAAAATCTGGCAATGCGACTTAAAACCTGGAAGTGCGACATAAAATCTGACAGTGCGACTTAAAATCTGGCAGTGCGACTTTAAATCTAGCACTGCCTGATTTTGCTATAAAAAACATAGTGATGGCCTTTAAGAACCATCGTAATTTATAAATAATTTAATTTAATCAATACCATTATACAATAAATGAGGAGGTCCATTCCAAAGCTTGGCTTATCCACTTTTTAATAAAAATGAGTTAATGGTGCCTGTACATTTAACATGTATCACCCTATACCCTGAAAAGTTCATAATATTCTAAAACTCATTTACAAATTGACTATCGTTTCAAAACTTGCCTTATCTATTGGTTACAAAAACAACTAATATGGATAAGCCGAGTTTTGGAATGCACCTCCTTAAATGTAGCGTTAATAATACCAACGAATTTGTCCTTGTCATTGACAATTTGTCAAAGTTTAAAAAAGATAAAAGGTAAATTATACTCTTTTACTGATATAATATTTACAAGGTGAAAACGGTTGAGGTGTTTTTTTTTGCTTTATATGTTTAATATAATATAATACGTACAATTTGTATATTTTTACATCTCTACCTTCATTTTTATTACGTAACGTTTTACCTATGTTATATACATTATTCACATTTTTTACATAATTTTTTTTAAATTGGTAAAAAGTAAGGTTAATGTTATATATTTAAGTTATAATGAAATGTATTTAAGTTTCGCGCCTAAGGGTTAAGTTGGTAATAGTTAGGTTGGTAACAATATATAGAGATGGCGGCAGTTTCTTTTTGGTTTTTGGCTATGGGATATTTTTGGATGTTAAGAAGCTGTTGTTGATTTAATAAATATGTTACAAGAGATAGAGGCCTTTCACTAATACATAACATAATTGGCGACGAGTCGGGTCGAATTCACGTGTGGGAAAATAAGTCGAATGCACGTGTAGTCAAGTGCCTAGCAAGGGAAATAGTCAAATTTTTACGAATCATGCCCAAGTTTGAAGAGTTCAAGGAGAAGGAGGAGTCCTTCGTCAGTTGGGAAGAGAGGTTGCAGCAGTATTTTTTAGTCCATGCTACAAAAAGTGAACTGAAGGTGGCAAACTTGTTAACTTTCTTAGGAGCAAAGGCATACCAAGAGTTGAAAACCAAACTTTACCCGGATACACCAACGACTAAATCGTATGCAGAGTTGGTAAATGCTTTGAAAGAAAAATATGAACCTACTACAAGTATTATCATAGAAAGATACAAGTTTTATAACAGAAAACAAAGGTCAGACGAAAATTTAAAAGAATATATAAGTGCTATTAAAGATCTTGCACAAAACTGTAAGTTTGGCACGTTTCTTGATGAGGCATTACGAGATCAGTTAGTATGTGGGGTACGTGAGGCTCAGATACAAAAAAAATTGTTAAGCGAGCCTGAGACATTACAGTTTAAGGAAGCATGCACTATAACATTAAGTATGGAAGTGGCAGAGTCCCAAAGTAAATTAGTCCAGGGATCCTCGGAAATGATATTAAAAGTTGCTGGTAGTTATGAACAAAAAGGTTTTTATAAATCTTGTTGGCGATGTGTTCGTTACCATGATGTAAATACATGTCCAGCTCGAGAATGGAAATGTTTTAACTGTAATGAAAATGGGCATACCAGCCGAGTATGTAAGAAGCCCAATATGTCAAGGAGTACTATGTTTAACAAGAGTCAGCCAAGAAATTATGCAAGTAGTAAAAGTCAGTCAAAGTACAATGGGTATAATACCAAAGGTCAATCAAAAAGTCAGGGTCAGCAGTCAAAATCGTCAGGAAAAGTCCATTCAGTCCAGTCAACAGCCAATGGAAGGGAGTCGGAGTCAGACAGTGGAGATTCTTTGGAAATAGGATTTATTGGGCAGCTGAGTCAAGATGAGAGCGCCATGAAGGTCAGCTTGATGGTTGATGGTATCAAAATGCCAATGGAGGTAGATACAGGAGCTTGTAGGTCAGTGATAAATTATGTTGATTTTAAAAACATGTTTAATAAAAAACTAGAGCCAGTTAGTATTAAGCTTAAGGTTGTGACAGGACAGAGTGTAGAAGTCTTAGGCCAATGTCATGTAAATGTTAGGTTTCAGGGAACATCATTAAACTTGCCTTTAGTCGTTGTAAAAAGTAATAATAGCTTTTCACCTTTATTAGGTAGAGATTGGTTAAATATTTTAAATCCTGATTGGAAAAGTAAGTTGTGTCATAATGCCAATGGAGGTAGATACAGGAGCTTGTAGGTCAGTGATAAATTATGTTGATTTTAAAAACATGTTTAATAAAAAACTAGAGCCAGTTAGTATTAAGCTTAAGGTTGTGACAGGACAGAGTGTAGAAGTCTTAGGCCAATGTCATGTAAATGTTAGGTTTCAGGGAACATCATTAAACTTGCCTTTAGTCGTTGTAAAAAGTAATAATAGCTTTTCACCTTTATTAGGTAGAGATTGGTTAAATATTTTAAATCCTGATTGGAAAAGTAAGTTGTGTCATAACAACGACAATGTTTTAAAGTCGGTAGAAAAAAGTAAAGGTCAAGAGTTAGAGTTAGAATTAAGAAGTAAGTTTAAGGAAATTTTTAATGACACATCAAATTCTTGTATTAGGAAATTTAAAGTCAATTTTAATGTAAAAGGAGAAGCAAAACCAATCTTTCATAGAGCTTATAGCATGCCTTATGCATTAAGACAAACGGTAGAGGCTGAATTACACAGAATGGTTAAGTCAGGTATATTAGAGAGAGTTCATTTTAGCAATTGGGCTAGTCCCATAGTAGTTGTACCAAAGAAAAGCGGTGAAATCCGAATTTGTGTGGATTTTAAAAAAAAAGTCAATAAAGTAATAGATGTAGACCATTGCGTATTACCATTGCCAGAAGACATATTTGCAAACCTTAGTGGGAAAAGGTATTTTACAGTAATAGACCTTAAGGGAGCGTATCAGCAACTTGCGGTAAGCGATCAGTCTAAAGAATTATTAACCATAAATACTCACTTGGGGTTGTTTAGATTTAACAGATTGACGTTCGGAATAAGTTCGGCTCCAGGAATTTTTCAAACCATTATGGAAAATATATTGACGGGGTTGGAGAATGTAAATTGCTACTTGGATGACATATTAGTTTATAGTACCACGTTGCAGGGTTGTTACGAGACAGTGGAGCGAGTTTTTAAACGGCTGGAAATGTATAATGTAAAAATTAACTTGTCTAAATCTAAGTTTTTTGTCACAGAGGTGGAATTTTTGGGTCATAAAATTGATCGGGAGGGTATACATCCGAATGAAGAAAAAGTAAAATGTATTGTAAAAGCACCCGTGCCTGAAAATTTAAC